GATCATGAATATCTCTGTGCGTGCACAGGTCGACTTGGAGTGGGTGTATATCATAATGCCTCTGTGCGCACACCTGCGCTTGCACGTTTGGACTTGGAGTGGGTGTGTATCATGAATATCTCTATGCGCACACTTGCGCATGCACGTGTCGATTTGGAAGTTGTGTATATCATGAACATGTACATGCACGTGTCGACTTGGAGTGGGTGTATACGATGAATGTCTCTGTGCGCACACCTGCGCATGCACGTGTCGATTTGGAGGGTGTGTATCATGAATGTCTCTGTGCGCACCTGTGCATGTGTGTATCATGAATATCTCTGTGCGCACACCTGTGCGCACACCTGTGCATGAGTTGTGTATATCATGAACATGTACATGCACGTGTCGACTTGGAGTGGGTGTATACGATGAATGTCTCTGTGCGCACACCTCTGCATGCACGTGTCGATTTGAAGGGTGTGTATCATGAATGTCTCTGTGCGCACCTGTGCATGTGTGTATCATGAATGTCTGTGTGCGCACCCCTGTGCGCACACCTGTGCATGTTCTAAACCCTAAACCCTTCGGCAGAGCACTTGACACCAGAAGCGGCAATCTCAGCGGGGACGTCACAGGGCTGTCGCCAATGAGGGCTCCAGGCAGCGCTCTTGTCTCGACGCAGCTTCAGCTTCTTCTCGGCCAGAAGCTGTTCAGCTCTGTCCACATACCTCGTCACACGTGTCTCGTATACTCCTCCATAGATGTCATCTATGAAAGCACCAGTGAAGTCGTCCAGGAACTCTTCCTGCAGCTTGACGAGGGCCGGATGGAGACCCAGACAGAAAAGGAATGGTCCTGCAGCGTCGCCCTGCTGAGTCCCCTCTTGACTGAGGATGGTATCAATACACGATACCACAGCTTAGCCGGGGTGCCGTAGAACTGCCAGAAGAAATCGACAAGGGAGGGCCACTTTATGCCGAGCTCGTCCAGGATCGCCTGGCGATCAATTGACTTGAAGGCCTTCTTGCAATCAAAAGTCACCAAAACACGCCGGTCCGGGCCACCACCTTGTGTCTCGACGAACGTTTGGCATGCACGGAACAGCTTCTCACTCCCTGCCGAAGTCCCCACAGCAAACTGCAAGGGAGAGAGGTCGTCTTCGAAGGCGAGTTTGTTGTCCATGCAGACAGCTTTTGTCACCCAACGCCGCAGCACGTCACCCACAGCAATAGGTCGAACGGAGGGATAGTTGGATTACTGCACCAGATAAAGGTGGCGATGAGGGGCAGATGCAGAGTGTGAATGGGGCGCACGACCAATGGGAGGCATCCTCGTGTCTGTCCCGAATGTGAAATGGTTGCAGGCTATGTTGGCTGTGGTTCGGAACATATGATCGTGTATTTGCTAATAGAGTCTACATAGTGTCGGGAAGGGTGGACGCCAGGAGCCTGAATCGCGCGGAGCTGACGCCCGAACAGCAGCTATCTCAGACATCTGACACGTATGAAAAGTTCAAGGGTGTCCAAATCCGCACGTACGAGGTGAGCACGACGGCAACAGGCAGGGGTACCTAAGAAGGGGGGGAGGGATCATGTGTTCTCTGATGTTATGTTCAGCGAAAGGACGACGATTAGATTCACACCGGTAAATCGCAGAGACTTGCACTTGGGAAGACAACGGGGCACAAGGCGACTGTCTGTTTTGTTTTCATCAGGCGTGATAGGGCAGGAGCTGCGGGAGATTTTCGCTGACACCATTCTCGAAGAGACAGTGACAATCGAGGGCGGCGAGCCTGAGACAACCCTCTTCCTGGACGAAACGGCCCTACTCTACAGGGTAGATAACACACACCTGATGCATGGATGTTGGGTGTGGTGGCCCTCTGTGCTTCTGGCTATGGTCCCTGCTTGTGTGATGACGTGTTGCATGCAGACAATCATTGTGGCTCAAGGCCTGCAGAAAGAGGCTGAGATCTTGCGACAGAAGGCCGATAAACAGGAGGCAGATATTGCGGCGCTTCACGGAAAGCTGAAGGCCATGACGAGGCAAATGGAGAAGATGTCTAGACAGCGGACCGCTCCCTGCACCAAGTGATCGATTGATGCTCTCGTAAAGATACCTCTACTGCCCGCTTCCCGAATGCATTCATTTCTTCCCGCTACTTGTCGATTCATGTATGCATCCATGTATGCCCTTTTTTCCCTCAATGGTCCTACTTTTTCTTTTGCACGTATCATTTGTCGAGAGTGACGGTTGGAGCGTACTTGAGTCGTCGGGGTTGACAGAGAGCTACAAAGACACCAACAGAGTGATAAGACATGTGTCTGATGTGCGTTTGGCTGCTGACTGTCCATTCAGTCGGACAGCTATCTGCTTGATGCACACAAAGCGGCCTAGAGTCCTACTGATGGCCAGACTAATCTTCGCTTTGTGGTGGCCTGCGTCTCGTCTCGTCTCCGTTTCAAAGTGGTCGCCCCTCATGCGAACCGTGCATGTCTGTGTGGTCGCTGTCACGATGGCTGGACGTCAGGGCGGGAAGGAATTTCTTTCAGACGCACCTGTCGTTGCTTGCAGCTAGTGCCTTTTGCTTTCTCGATCTATATCTGCTGCTGCATATGAACACTAACATTGAATGTACAACCTCTGGTGAGGAACCAGGCACGAATGCGTAGTGGGTGCAGTGTTTCTGGTTGTCATGCTTTCTTGGCATGTATGGATGCATCCATTCGTGCAGTGCTCATCTTTCAGTATCGCTTGAGTGAGCCTTGCTTTTTCACCGCTGCCTACTTTGTATCACAGAGGCGGGACACTAAGGTGAGTGCACTCAATTGATGAGGAAAAAGCGGATGAATGATGAAGCTCGAGTCAAATATGCCACGCCGTACATACATCGACAGACAGGCGCGTCTCTGTGCATGTATGCACGGACGAACGCACGCACACATGTTTATACGTGGGTATGTATGTTGACGGCTGTCGGGGCAAATGTTGCGTTGGGGCCAGGCTTGGGTGCTGATTGTCATCGCTCAAACACACAACAAGTGCGCCGGCATGTATTCGAGCGCATAGGTACGGATGCTGTGTGTCTGCATACGACAGAAAAGCTCATGTGACTACAAGCACTCGAAGCATCGAAAAAGCACACAACGGACAGATGATGCATAACGGACTGACTGACACCAAGACAACCAATACACACACTCCAAGTCCAAACGTGCATGCGCAGGTGTGCGTATACAGACATTCATCGTATACTCCAAGTCGACGCGTGCATGCGCACGCAGGTGAGAGACATTCATCATATACACGCAGGTGAGAGACATTCATCATATACACACACTCCAAGTCGACGCGTGCATGCGCACGTGTGCGCACACAGACATCAGGTGTGAGCAAATAGACATTCATCATATACACAGTGGACAAAAGACATTCATCATATACACACACTCCAAGTCGATGTGTGCATGAGCAGGTGTGCGCACTGTAATATTCATTGGATACACACTCAAAGTGCAGGTGTGCGCACAGTAATATTCATCGGATACACACTCCAAGTCGACACGTGCATGCGCAATTATGCGCGCAGAGATATCTGCACACAGTAATATTTATCGGATACACACACTCCAAGTCCACACCTGCATGCACAGGTGTGCGCACAGAGACATTCATCATATACATCCACTCCAAGTACACCTGCGCATAGAAACATTTATCATCTCAACACACTCCAAATCGACACGTGCATGCGCAGGTGTGCGTACATAGACGTTCATCTTATATACCCATTCCAAGTCCAAATGTGCATGCGCAGGTGTGCGCATACAGACATTCAACATGCGCAGATGTGCGCATAG